TGTGTGTGTGTGTGTGTGTGTGTGTGTGTGTGTGTGTGTGTGTGTGTGTTTGCGTGTTAATAACAGGCCTCTTCACTGCTTTTTCATGTATTTTTCCCAGGAAGGTTTTTTTAATGGATCTGGATTAGCAGACAATGTGCAGGGAATAAAAGCCCGTTGTTCATGTTCATGCTTTAAGCCTTCAGCCAAAAACAACACGTCACAAACACAGAAATATTGTGAGTCTTCAGACAGAAGGAGCATGCAGCAAACACACCATGAAACCAACTGTCAGCTAATAGAAAACATCCACTTCATTCTTTAGAAAGTGCTTCAGTCAAACATCTGCACTTTTCTGTTTAAATAAGCAGCTCTGACATAAATATGATTTCAAGTCTTATTTCTCTTCTCCTCTGATTGTTCATATTGATTATTTAAAAAAAAGAATCTTTAGAAAAAAGACATTGTTTTCCGAATATTTTCATTTTTCTTTCAGACTTTTATCTTTTTGTCTTTTATTAATAATTGCTGAACACTTTTGGAGAAGAAGGAATTTCCTTTTGGTTGAACTTTTGTCTCAAAGAATCATTAATCTGAGAGTTTTCTTTCAGTTTGAGAAGAAAAGGCTGCAAACACAAAAGATCCGGAATAATTTGTCACCAAACGAAAACGACCGGTAACCGGGAGTCACGTGGACCGAAACCAGTCCACCAAATCAAACGTTTACTGGAGGTCAGAGGTCAACCTGCTGTTTCTTCACATGTTCAGGCTGGAGGCTGTGAAGGATGAAAAATATCCTAATAATTAACGAACATCCTCACGTTTGTCCCGGAGATGAAACGCTGTTTGTCATTTCTCTTTTAAAGAGTCAATCAGATCTCCCTCAGTGCACCGCCACCGCGGAGTGCAGCGCCGTGGAGGCCGAGGACGACAGCGCCTCTCCGGGCGCCACCGGGCTGCTCTGTCCGGTGGCTGTCTGCGGGGACGTGGGGCTCAGAGACTGGGGAGAGTTCGCCAGGAAAGCCGGGATGTGTGTGGGCATCGAGGTGGGCGTGGGTTTGATGGGCACCGGGAAGGCGGGCAGAGTCTGTCCGCCGTGACAGATGGACTTGAGCGGCATGCCATAGGCCGAGTAGTCGCTGGCCATGGAGATTGGAGCTGCGCTGTCCATCATCCCGGAGCCGTACATGTGCGGCCAGGCCGGGGTCAGTTGGTTGTGGAGCGGGTACCCGCTGGTGGAGAAGGCCGCCAGTCCGCCCGGGATCTTGTACTCTCTGGCAATGATGTTCTCGATGGCGAACGGGTGTTTGAAGCTGGACGGCTGCGTCACGGAGCTCAGGTTGTATCCGCCCGACATCTGCGGGAGGTGCGCGGCAGCGTGCAGCGCGCTGAGCCGCAGCTTGGCCTGCTGCTGCAGGTAGTGGGTGGTGTCCTGCGGCTTGCTGGGAGCCAGCGGGTCCGTGACCAACATGCCGCCCACTTTAAAGCGCTTCCTGCGCCGCAGAAAACTTCCGTTCTCAAACATGTCACCGCAGCTCGGATGCAGAGCCCAAAAACTGCCCTTCCCGGGCTGGTCCGGTCTGCGAGGGATCTTGATGAAGCAGTCGTTGAAGGAGAGGTTGTGCCGCAGGGAGTTCTGCCACCGCTGCGTGTTCTCCCGGTAGTACGGGAACCGGTCCATGATGAACTTGTAAATGTCACTGAGAGGGAGCATCTTCTCCGGGCAGCTCTGGATGGCCATGGCCGTGAGGGAGATGTAGGAGTACGGAGGCTTCTGGTCGCTGTACGTGTTCCTCCCCGGGCGAGGCATTGTTCACTGAAACCAGTTCAGTCTCCGTCTGCAGAGAGCAGAAAATACTTTTTATCAACTTTGTCCAAACAGTTCCAACTATTGAAAACACCGTTACGCACGAAAATAATTGTATTTGGCACGCATGGTCCCGTCTTTTACGCACTCAACTGGAGTCGCAACTCCGCCTTGAAGTTGAGGAAAAGTTGAAGAAGCTGGTTCCTCCTCTGGTTCCTGTTGCCCGCTGCGGGTCCCCTCTTCATGCCCCGCTGATGAGCTGCGCTAAGCGGCTGCTGCTGCCTCCTCCATGTCCTCTCCCGGTCTGTCCCGTCTGCCGGCTGGACGGCGGTGACATGAGCAGAAAGACCCCCGGAGAGGTGCTTCATTAATGGGCCACTTCTTCACCATCACATGATCACAGCCAGGAGGAGGGAGGGGGGGGGGGCACGATGTGCTTTCATTTACACGTATATTTACATGCACGCGCTGTGCCAAAACAAGTCACTTTGAAGCCGTGGCGACAAAAAGAGCTCAGACGAGCAAAGAAGCTGCTTCTCGGGGATGTTTGTGTCGGAGCGGCGCTGCGCTCTGTGGAGGTATGTTGGTGTGTTTGGCAACATTTGACGCACAGTGTGTATGTGTGTGTGTGTGTGTGGACTGAGGGGCGCGTGGGGGCCTCTCACCAATTTACATTGACAAATAGATCCGCTGAGAGCTGCTGTTTGAGCGGCTTTAAGGACACTTTGCTTTGTTTCTGTTTCATGTCGTTTTTTGTTTCGTTTTTTCAGCTCCGACCTGAAGCTGAAAAATGATCCTTAAGATGAAGAATAATTTAAAAACACATGTGAACACATGAATTATCTCTTCATTCACTTTCTTAAGTTATTTTTTATTTCGGCTGAATTGATCCAAACTGAATTTCTTTTTTTTATTCCACTGAATAAAACCTATAATTCTGTTAAACTCTTCTTCTTCACTTTGATCGTTGTAAGAAATATTTTAAGGCTTTTCATTTGACGTCACACTGACCTTTAATGATGAACGCATGAAGATATTTAAATGAACTTGTTTTACATTTAATGAAAGGTCTCATTTGTCTCAAAGATTTAAATCATTCATGATTCAATAATAAGAGAACATTTTATTTCAACACCTTTTATTCGTTTATTTTATTTTTAGGTTGTTTCGGGTTTATTATAATTACAATTACAATTACAATAATAATTTAGAATTTATATCAGAAAAAGTTTGAATCATAGCTGTTAAATTAAACTGCATTTTATTCAGAGCGACAGTTTGAAGTCGAGTTCTTTCGGTTATTATTGTTTTCTGTTTCAAAATATTATATTTGACAATTTCCGTAACCACAAGTCCGCGCACACGCACGCGGGAGGTTGGTCGACGAGACTGTTATAAGTAATAATTCTAATGCTACTAATACTGCTTTAATAATAATAATAATAATAATAACAAAATAGCAATAATAATATTAATTATAATAATTTATTATTATTATAAATCAAAGCATAGAACATGGATATTAGTTCTTGCTATAACTAGCACTATTATAATTATTATCACACAATAATAAATAACATGTCATAATATCTAATAATTCATTTAATTTTCTGTGAGAGTTAATTTTTGGACTGATTTTAGAGATGACCAAATTAATCAATAAACAGTTAAGAGTTAGACATTAAATTAAAAAGCATCTGATGATAGTTATGTTTATTTATTAAATAAATGACAGTTTGGGTTTTAGAGGATCTGAAGATTTTAATATTCCCAGAGGAGGGACGTCTGACCTCTGACCTGTCAGCAGCTGATGATCTGCGCGTTCAGGATGCGGAAACGGGGGGGGGGTTAGACACTCTCAGACATCACAGAGACTCTGAACATTATGACAACATCCTCATTTTTAATATTTTGATGAATATTAATCTTCTTCCTCTAGTTTGGCACTGAAATAATTTTATAATAGAATATATAATATAGTATATGTTATATTCTATATTATATATATGTAATAAAATAATAATATAATAATTCAGAAAACCGTTTGGGTTGCTTTTATTAATTTTTTTATTGTTAAAATATAATTTAATTACAAACTAATTACTAACTAAACTCTGCCGGATCCTTTAACATGAAATTAGTTATAATTGTATTATAAATAAGCATATATACATTTATAATATTAGTATTCACAATTGTGTTTAAGGATTACATAATTATGTGTATTATTGTTATTTCATTTAATAAATAATTGTAAATATATAAATATCAGACAGACTTTTGTTTGTTTAATTATTTAAATCTACATCAGATGATTTAAACTGACACTGTTCATAAAAGTCTACATTACAATAATAACTAAATAAAGTGCAGTTAAAGACAAAAACACAACAACAAAAGCAGTAATTAGTTTGTAATTAACCCTTAGTTATGACGATAATAATTATTATTATGATGTTTATTATTGGTATAGTTATTATTGTTATTATTATAAACAGGTTGAGAATATTTATTATACTGTCAATTAGTTTACAGGAGGATTTAAATGAGTGTGTTATTATTGTGTGTGTGCAGAGACTCATCATCTACAGTCTTTGTTTGAACTCGTCTGATAACTTGACTCTACAGAGAAGATGATGAAGATGATGAAGATGATGAAGATAAGTCCGTTATTTCCTTCAGTTCACTTCTGTTTTCATGTTTATCCCTCAGAGTATTTCTGCTCCACAGATGAGACGCTGCTCAACCTTCTCCTAATATATTATAATATATATTATATTATATACATATGATATTATGTATAATATTATATATATATATATTATATACATATGATATTATGTATAATATTATATATATATATACATACATACATACATACATACATACATACATACATACATACATACATACGTAT